CTAATTCCACCCCTCCCCCGAGAAGTCATGTTTTTCTACCTTCCACCATTTAGTGTTCATGGCCATCGCTCCCATCCAGAGTCTGGTGAGTAGCACTTGGCAGCTTGTATGTGCAATGAAATTCTGATCTTCAGCCATGACAGCCAGATCAAGTGCTGTCAGGTTACCGAAATTATCCAGTTCTTTAACGAGCAGTGTCTGGGAGAGAGTTTCATTCTCTTCGTAACATTCTTGAAGTACGCCGATTGCGTGTTGTTCAAAATCGCTGCAAGAGAGTTAACAGCAGCGCTCAGAACATCGAAAATGCTTGAAAAAATAAAAGTTTATAATCGAAAAGAGAGACTGAACCTATTCGAAGTCATTACAAAGACTGTCAATGACTGGTAGAATTATCAAAATCTCGACCATCTGTGTCTGAAAACTTTTATCCAGTCACACAATATTTTGTCACGTATCATACAATTCCCCAGCCTAAGACTACGTGGCTACTTAACTGTTTACAACCTTATATCAGTATGCATATTCTCTACACTGTTTTCTTCACATTTCGTATAGCACTGACAAGGAGAATTTGTTTAAAAACAAAGTGCTTCATTTGTTGGTGATACTGTTGAGATAAATTAGTTTTTAGTCACTGTTTAAATGTGCAACGGATACAAGGAGAACGATACTCACTTCGCAACCTCCAGCAGCTCTGGGCTGATGTCAGTGATGGTATCATCAGCACGCGCCTTTCCCGCCATGGATTTAAGAAGACGCGTTGCCATGAGCGCGGTTGCGATCTGTTCTCGGCCCATGCTCCACATGAGCTTGGCCATCTCTTTCCGGTTACTAAGCACTGCCCAGATAAATACGTCACGATACGGTGTCTTTAGAGGGTCGATTCTGTGAAGGGGATTGCCTAGAAGTAAAAAAAGGGTAAACAATTAAGTTGTATCTCATCATAGTCGCGCAGTTATTGGCAGAATAACACTATAAATAAAAACCTTTGCGTTGCGTGACAGCTGCAAAGGAGACTTGTTGAAATACAAACCATACTCTTTAATAAATCAGAGCGCGCGAACTGACCCATACATTTTACAAACATCAATTCTCCCGGGATCGTCTCTTAAGGTTTGGCTCAAATGGTACTAACAAATGACAAAGCTATAAATCATAATGACAGACAAAAATGATAACGACGACTTTGAATCTTGTGATGATAACAATACTATTGACAGAGCGCTAAGTTCTTAGATGTGTTACTTACATACAATAACTGGCTGGGTGATTTTTCGACTTTTGCCCCTTTCCTCAGGAAGTGAGGTCATATAACGTGGATCCCGAAGATAAAGGCTATGATATGAATCGCCCATTAATTCTTCTATCACTTCACCAATAACCCTCAGGTTTAAGGCTGTAATATTCTTTTTATTCTGTAGAAAAAGGAATGATTATGCTTTATTTTTTTTTCGCACCCTCAGAAAAATAAATTCGTCACTTCTGGAATGCGCGGGAAAACATGCAACCAGTGGTCAGCGCGGGAAATCGTGTGACCAATCTCTAGCGCAAGAAAACAGGACGAGATGGAGAAGCGCGGGAAAACATGTCAATAGTATGTTGATGGACGCAAAAAGAAAAAAGAATTTGCAGGTGCCATTCAGCCAGAGTGTCTATCTCACAGAGTTTTTGAAACGGAATTTCCATAAAATGAGGCATGTTTTTTAGATGCCTTCCTAGAAGTTACGTAAAACGGGTAAAAATGGAACTGATGAAAAGCGCACAAAACGTGCAAATTTAAGCAGTAAATTTAAAAATATACACATAAAATCATACGCACCATTTCTTTTTGTACCAGAGGCTTTATGACGCTGTTACTTGGGACCTGAAAATTAAACGATATTGCATTTTCGATATCAGCAAGGAATTTCGAAAACGTTACAGAAAAAAGAAATATATTTTCATGATGTTTCGCTTAAAACTTAACTCCAAATATTGTAATCGAAGTCAAACTCCTCGTGGAATCAACAAGTCTCTACTAACTCACCCCAGCATACAACTGACATAATATCTGCGGTGTAAGAAATTCTCTCATACTGAGACCATTCTGTAGGAATAGTTCAACAAATCCTGGCTTATCGTCGAGCAAAGCTGCCAACATAGGATTAGTCAGTGCCTCCGTCTACAGAAAGAGAACGATAACAATTATTGTCTTATAATACGTGCAGTCCGTGAACGCTTTAATTGCAAAACACTAGATGAAAATTCTCCGTATGAGGGCTGTTGGCGATTGAGTGAGTAAGACCAGAAAAAGCCTTACACCCCCGCAAGATGAGTTGAGTATCCTAGCCAATAAGTAGCTGAAAACTAAGCGCGCACAACAAACATTGCATTTTCGTGTATTCAGGCGAGCGCGAGGCGAGTGCAGAGCTGCGGTCACGAACAAAAGGACGAGCGTAAGAGAAATGGCGCGTTATTTCGCCCTTTTTTCGCTCCCTTCATCTCGCGTGTAACTCGCGCGCCCTTCAATCTCGCTTCACACATGCCTCCACTCGCCTGAAAAACGCAAAAAAAAAAAGGAATGTTACACCTTTTCCAAAACTTGTTGGAAGGTTGTCAAGCTTTACATGTATTCGTCCGCGAGACAAGAGAAGATTGGGCAAGTTACATATGAAAACATAAAAGTTACCGTCCAAAGTTTGTCATCAGTGAAGATCTCACTTTTAGCGACGTCAATCCGGTTCCAGGCCAGTGCCAAATTTAACTGCATCAAAGGAGCGGAACTGTTGGCTAGGAGAGATACGAGAATAACATTGATGTTCACAGGTTTAATTGGTTCTACAGGACAGCTTAGTGCGAATGTTGTAACACAAACAACAATCGTCTAGTTTCTACAACTCAGTTAATGAATGAATGAAAAACTTTATTTAAAACACGGTTAAAATATCTGTATGAATATAGAAAACAAAGGAGAAATTTATCTTAAGTAAAATTTTCTATTAACTGGTTTACATATTTGCCGTGTGGGAGTCCGATATAGAGAGCCATTTATCAATTCTTCTCTTGAAGTTGCGTAGAGATTTTGTAGTGCGGATATCCTCAGGAAGATCGTTCCAAAGAGAAGCTCCGCTATAACTGAAGCTACGCTTCGGTGAGTGAAGTAAGTGAGTTGCCTGATAATATAGCACAATAACCGAGCTAGAGTTCGGACCCAGACCTCTCGACCCAGAGTCCAGCGCGCTGACTATAAGGACAGTGCATCTTCAACTATGCACGAAGTGGCTGTAGGCTATTGAGCCTTACTGCCCAAAGAGCTCCCTTAACAACAGCTCAAGATGTTTCTCATCGACACACATTCAATCTTTAAATTCAAGAGTCCCACAGCCACGCTTTAACTCACTAATACAGTAACGCATCTCCCTCTCTATTTAAATCTCTGTTTCCTCTCTCTCTATACCTAATATTAACTGATCTGATAATAATAACTGATCTATCCAACCTCTCTACTGAATGGCACCTGTCTACAACTTCTCTGTTTGTCAGTTTTTAATGATCCACCTTACTATTAAAAAAAGAAAAGAACAATTTCAAAAGCGTGAAAAAAACAAAACAAAACAGGTAATTGAGAGATCAAAATATCACTAAATTATTATCATACCTTTTAGGAGGGCTTTTAGAATTGCAAGATCAATGTCTTGAGATATATTGGTCTCGTCATCCATTCGGTAAATAGAGATCTACAAAAGACAACAAATGTTTGAACCATTTCACTCCCACAAGTGACCAGGACAGAATTTCTCCTAACAATATCAATACAATATTAAGCAGACAAGTGACGAGAATAAAGAAAATATCTATCAGGGGATTACTAGTTGATCCAATATCAAATTCTCCGAACAAACATCATAAGAATTGTCTGGAAAACAGTAAGGAGATTTACTAATGAGATCTTGAGAGTGACAGAATTAATATACTACGGTGGAAACTCCAGTGAAAGTTCGGAGAAGTATTTCACTAAGCACAGCGCAAACTTAAACATCCAGGAAACTTCCACCTCGTTACCAGACGATCAGAGACCATGATATTTCATACATTTTTCAACTGAAAATTCAAATCATTTATGCCATCATCCATGGTACATAAATTTGATTGAGGAAGAGGAAATAGAACATTTTTTACGGATTCCCCCTATACAATGTGAACAAGAAAAGACTGCAATACTAAGTGTAACCCAAAAAATTGAAAAAAAAATAAGGGACATACCATCTTATCGTCTTCAAGTACTTCTTCGATCATCTTGTAATGTTCGTCGACTTCTTGTTCCTTCCTAAATTGAAACACGTCCGCCACCTTAGCTCGTATTTTCCCTTCATACTGAGGATCGACGATAAATTTCCCGTCACTGACGATAAAAAAAGAAACGAAAAACCGCAAGGAAGATTGTCTTAACATTAGTGATCAAAACAAAAATAAACAAAAGGCAGAAAAGCAAAAGGGCTACGTATTACACGCGGGGAATCATGCAAATGACGTTGAGCGCGGGAAGCAAATTACTGCTACGATAATCGGGAAAAAAATTACCTTGCTCCTTAAACGCGTTAAAATACAAAGCCCATGCTAAGAGCGGTAAATTACGCTGCAGGCACCAAGCGTGGAAAAACACGTCATTTTACAGCCATACGCGGGAAAAAAAATGTATTCGCTGCAATTGCACAAACCACACAACCCATGATAAACGCGGGAAATCACGCATCCGACGCCGAGCGCTGGTAAACATGTCACTGGTGCCATGCGCGGGAAAAATGCGACGGCGCTTGACGAAAACATTTACCTGAATACTCTATTTGGACCATAAACGAAATAATTGAGGCACAATTGGTCATTAATTCTCACCTTTTAGTGGTGTGACTGTAGGCATAAGCCACCACATCTGCTGCACGACCACTTCCATCAATTACAACAGCTGGGATTTTCTTTTTGATTAATTCACACATGGTACGAACAGTGTTTGGTCCACCCTCCAAAACCAATAGGACCACAGGAACACCAATGGCACCTTGCAGATGATCGACAACATATTGTTAACCATGTACACAGAGTAAAATTCAGACGCCATTTTTTAGACTGTATCTATTTTTGTGTCTACAGCAAATGTTTTTTTTTCCTGCAATTTTTTTTTTTGATTCGCTGCTAACATGTAATTTTTTTCCTTAAAAATGCTTATTTGTTTCACCTTAAACGACTGTGAATATATGAAAGTCATATATCTGAACTGCGGTTAAAAACGTGAATATGAAAGCGATCTACGCGGTAATGAACACTAGTGGAGCAATAGTGAAAATAAGGCCTGAAAAAATTCAGGCCTGTACGGGATTTGAACCCATGACCTCTGCAATACCGGTGCAGTGCTCTACCAACTGAGCTAACAAGCCAACTGGGAGCTGGTTATCATTTGGTTCCAAATAAACCCGTTAAGTGGTAAATAAACGGTTGTGAATATATAAAAGTCATATATTTGAACTGCAGATAAAGACGTGAATATGAAAGCGATATTCGCAGTAATGAACACTACTTGAGCAGGCCTTATTTTCACTGCTGCTCAAGTAATGTTTATTACTGCGAAGATCGCTTTCATATTTACGTCTTTCACTTTGTTAATAATTTGATATTTTATTTCCATTGTCCTATAGATTATATTCACATGAGCCATGCTAGGAGAAATTCCATGGTACAACGACTGCAATGTCTTATCCAAACAACGTAACTAAACTTATTTCAGAGTATTAGCCCCAAAATCTACCAGGGAAACCAAGGAATGTAAATCAACCAATCACAACAAACTTAAAAAAACACTGTGCACCAGTGAGAAGTCACGGCACCAAGCGCGGGAAAACGCGCCTTGCAAGGTCGCGATTGCTTCCATTCGATTGGTTGAGAAGGTGACGCGAGCTTTTCAAGCCATTGCAGAATGAGGCAACATAAGACCTAATCTAAGGAGCCACATTCAAACTAATTGATTTTAGCGTGGTCGACATTTGAACCAACCTGCAGCAGATCTAGAGTCAGTTTTGACCTTCATTACAGCTTCCTCAAATCTTGAGCGCAGGTTAATCTCCACACCGTACTTTCCTTCTGTTCCGTTATCCACCAACAGGAAGTGCGAATGATTTGAATCCAGCAAAGCCCCACTGGAGCCTGGGACCTGTTCCATGCGGTAGTGGGCCGGATACAGACCATTTGTGTCCTACATAAAGAAAATAAGAGAATAATTGCAACCGCTGATAGCTTTATTCTACATAGTGACAATACGGAGCTTTCGGAAGACCAGAGGTAAGGTACTCGCGGGGTTCGAGGTACCGGCAGGGTTCCAGATTCCGATGGGCTAAAATTACAGAGAGACAGAATCCGCTTGGGGAATAAGCGTCTAAGTATAGGAGTTCTGAGGCCACTTAACTTGAGTTATGTTGAGTGGCTTAAGGGACGGCAATGTTCCTTCACAGTGAACAACATAAGAGCATTCCATATAGCAGCAATTAGTTGGCGGGAAAAGAGAAACTTAGACACTACAACTGCCCTCATTATTTGGGCAATGACAGTTTTGGCGGGAAATAAACAGTGCGAGTTTTCGCGGGAAAGGAAGATTGCTACTTTTGGCGGGAAATGAACGACGCGGCTTTCGCTTTACGCTTGCAGTTATTATATATTTATAAAAATAAACTATCCTTTCATAAGTCAAAAATAATCAGAGACTTGTGACCTTTGAAACTAAGTGTGTTTACCTTAGACGCTTTTAAAGAATCCTTTCTGTCCACAATGCCCCAAGTAGCGATTCCAATAACATTAACTTTATCCTCACTACCAAATGTGATTTCTTGTTCTCTCACGGCTTCACCTACATGCTTCATAACACCAGCATTGGTTCCACCTTAGGAGAAAAAAAAAAAAGGAAAATCTCCTCAAATCTCACAATCTCAGAAAGACCACTTTTCGATTGTGTATCAACAAAGTACTCACAGCGACCAATCTGAACGTAAACACAAGAAAACGACCTTGAGCGCGGGAAATCAAGTGGTAATACTGAGTTTCACTTCATTACGCTCCCTGATTGGTTTAGAGAAGTTGTACTAGTCTTTAAACCAATCAGCTGCAAACAAAACTAAACCACTGAACTCTTCCCGCCCTATAGGCTGTTTTGAGTTCTCATCGACTCCTCGTGACATTTTCCTTTGCTCTGATTGGCATTCGTGATTCTCTTAGTTTTACTCAGTCAATGGCTCTGTCTGAACATTACACACAGTGAGTATGTACTGAAAAAGGCACAAACCTGTTATAATCCAGGCACTCGTCGACTTAGCTGCTTTAATCAGACCTCTTCTGAACACCTCTTTTAATCTGGGTTTGAGAACAAAACTCTTGGCACCCCCCGTCACAGAAATAACCAGATTAGGAATTTCAAGATTCCATCTTTCAAGCATCAACTTTAGGATGAGCTGAACATCAGTGTCGTGTGACACACGGACATACTATGAGTACAAAAAAGGAGACTTGGGATTACTTTCGCGTAATTCGGTAAAGGATATAGGCGAAAGTCTCTCACTCACTTTCACACACATGTGCCATACACGACTGCCTTCCACTACTTTACCAATCCTCCCTGATAAACATAAGGTGTTTAAATGCCCCCCCCAGGGGTTTTATTAAGGGCCAGGCACTGGGTAAATTGACCGGTTGTGAGGACGGTTTTTTTTTTCACCTGGTTTGACCATCTACAGAACAGTTTATCCTACAAAGAAGTTCAGTTCAAAAAGTTTTGCCTGCCTGTGAAAACCAGTTGCCCTACAGCTGAAAACGTCAATG